ATACTTATTTGTCAAATGTTAGTGAGCAAGGTTGTAAAAAACGCCATTATACACGTAAAATTACAAGTATTTGTTTGGATTCTCTGCTTAAATCTCGTTTATAGTGAGCCTCAAACAAACTGTATGATAGATGTTAAATCTCTGTACTCCTTCACGGTTGTATCTTTTAATTTGTATAAGAATTTGATTTTTTTTCAAATATTTCGGCCTCCAGCATCACTGAGGAAACATTAATTGTACATTATTCATGTTATTGGATTGATCAATTGTGTCAACATTTACGATTATAAATTTACATTTTTATTATTTGTGTTATGTACATCCTCTAGGGATGTTAATTTCATTTTCAGTATTATTTGCATCTCAAACGAGTGATATTCAATATTAAATGTATTCTTATGAGACAGATGTAAGATTTACTAACCTTAGAATTATATCTATTATTACAAACGAAACTGAAGAAGTGGATCTGCCTCTACACTGTATTTTTATGTGGAGAGTTCCTCAACAAGAAGAGCTTAGTGTTATTCCTTAAGATTACTTTTCTTGTGAAATTGTTGTCCTTCCACCAAATTATCTAAAGATTATTGACAGCATTATTTGCATATAAACCTCTTGAACTTGAAATAGAGTATTTCACAATACAGACAGCTCTGGTTTATACCTTTAATTATAGCTAGAAATAAAATTGAAGGTGTCAACAAGAAATAATTTCAATTATGGTGCAGTCCTAAGGCAATAAAGCATGAATATTGTATTGTGCAGTAGTATATAGTACATGAGCGAATAGTATTTTGTGCATTGGCGAATAGTATATGATGCATGAGGAATGTTGTACATTTAAGTCCGTTTCAAAAAGAGGTAATAGAATTTGCTAAACACTTTTTATTGTGAGCAATTTTGAATGGTGTCATTCGTGTATGCTGAATGGTGTATGGTGTATAGGTATTGATGTAATGAGGTTTGGTGCACGGTGTAATGGTGTATTCAATGAGAAGGAAGTTTTCACTATTTAAGGACTGTAATTGATTTTATGCATTTTTATATCGGCCTATTACCGAAACGTATATAAAATATACGTCTCCCAGTTAACATGATATTGCAAAGATTACATTTATTAACATTATATCTTCGATAGAAGATACACAACAGCTGACAGGGGAGTTGATAGATAATAAACTTGAAGTTCAAAGTCGAACTGACCAGGTAGACCGTTTCGAATATCTTTATAACAGATGAGTAAGAATACGTATATTGGTTATTTGCAGCTCGAATTCTTTCTGCAATTGTTTATAACTTATCACACAAATCGACTTTTCAACGAATGCTTTCTTCGAACGAGAAACATATATTTGTCAACAGGGTGGCGTAAGAAATAGTTACTCTATCTTAGTACTAGTATTAAAGTTTAGTATTGTCTTAATGACCTTTGGTTACTAAATCTTTATTTTCAGTGTGATATGTTTTTGGATTCATTTTCATATTTTATTTTGCCCTTGTTTATGTATATCGTGCATATCTAAAACAATTATTGATTTCCCTTGGTATTTGCTTGACTTTGTTCATGGTAGAAACACACTGGGGATTTTTTTTGTGCATCTGAACTGGTTGAGTCGAAAAACACAATTTTTGTTCTGATTGTTTTTAACTATTAAAAAACTCATTCAAACGTTTAACTGTGTTATTTTATATCATTTTAAAAGAAACAATATATATTTGCATTCTTTCCATTCTAGATCGAAAAGTACATGCCCATTTATTTACAAACTGGTCATATAGTTTTAAAGATGTTAGTTGAAATATGTGGTGTTTATTTCTTTCTTTCCATACATTAACTCTAGAGCTTTCTCTGTTAATATCGGCATGATACAAAGTATCGAAATCTATTATCACAAAAAGTAAAATAACAAAAATACCGAACTCCAAGGAAATTCAAAACTGAAAGCCTCTATCAAATGGCAAAATAAAAAGCTCAAACACATCAAACGAACTGTCATATAAAAACAAAACATTCAACAGCTCCAGTTGTTTACGACCCCAAACGGTCTACTTATTGTCACCTAGATTTTAAAAATGCAACCAAATCGTGTCTTGTGTTGATATAAAGTTTTAAATGTTTGCTCAATGTGCAAGGATATTAAGAAAAGAAATGTTTTTATAAAAAGTATTATTTATCAAGAAAAATACTTAACCTATATGATGATTTATAACTATGTTTAAACCTTTCTGTTTCAATTCGTTTCTATTATCGTTGCAATAGATACATGAGATACTGGTTTCTTTTTCTGTTTCACAAACTTGACACTGGATGTTATCGTTGTAACTTCATAGAAGGAATAATAAAGTCAGAACGATTCTTTTCAATTTTCCCTTCTTCTTGCAGTGAACGATTGATGTATTAGTCAAATACATTTACCTGTTCGATTGATGCAGTGACCAAATTCCAAAGAAACATTCATTAATATTTCCATTTTTTGTACCAGAAATTTGTAATTGTATAACTTCAAAATATAGTTTTACTTCGCAACTTAATTTTTTTAGCATTTAGTATTTACAGAGAATCAATATTTGCTTTCTTGTCATTTGTACCAACGATTCAGTATTACTGTAAAGATAAAATAAATATAAAAATTACAATTAAGTTTTATAGACTGTTGTGTGTATCTCAGTCGTTTTGCCATAGCGTTGTCAGTTTAACTTCGAATTATAAGAAATAATTTCCTCTTTTGTATTTTCTGCCTCTCTTCTACTTAACAAATTGGTTTTGAATCTGTTAACCATCAACTGACTTGATTGTGTGAAAATTTGAAATGAATCGTCTAAAAAATTAGTATTGAAGAGTATACAAACAATATGTATATTAATTTGTGTTGACATGGTCAGTATAACCGAAGAAAGTTCGATAAAATGACTTTCTTTTACGGAGTTATCAACCTAAGAGTTCAAATGTTTGAAAGTGTTCGGTGTCACTTTTCAATCATGTCTGTACAAACAAATGCTGGAATATGACCAAATTGAGTGTATGTAATGACCTACTGCGAAATCACTTCAAACTCTATCATGTTGTGACCTTATTTTTTTTATATGTATTTTCACTAAAATTCCTGAATTCTAAGAATCCTTCGTTTAACACCATTCTTTTCTTTCCACTTTTCTAAACTTTTTCTGCTATTTGAACGTCCTCATGTCATGTTGCAGTTCTTTGTAAAATGTCCTTTCCATTAAATGCAAAGTAATTGTATTCAATTAGAATTTTTTTTTAATTTCGAACTACCAGTATTTTAAAGTACATATGAAGGTTACATAATGGTGAATAGAAGATTTTCAAAATTGTGTTAAAACCAATAACCTTTATTCTATAATCGCATTGGTTCATTGGTATGCTTCGTCGATTAGCAAATAAGATGACGTTATTGATTTCCTTATGATGAAAAAATGAAATTCTTGTTTTGCTGGAAGTATTTTATATGACTCTGTCTCAAATTCTGATGTATGGTATGTACTTCGTTTAACAGTAAAACTAAATGACATTCTGGATGTGCTCTCTAGAAGCTAAAATGACTTCACGGCTAAAGAATGAGTTATGTTATCATTAATTTATATATGTTCTTAAAGTTTACACTTTAAAAGTTATGACAATGATTTCAATATCACATTTGATGACCTCTATAAAGTATTATTTAAACTTATACTGGTGCAATATTGTCGCTGCTTGGACTGTCTATTCCCGAGAGTATAATCCTTTAAGTGGTCAGTGATTCAGCCCTGACATGATGTGGAACCTACCTTTCTTGAATTCCGCGTTGATAAATTTATCAACTATTCAGTAGCTACTGTTCCAACTCCCCCCAGGCGAGATGCCATTATATGAATATGGCTATTTTTGTCGACCCTTCTGGTCCTATACATCTTCACGTGGTAATGTACATGTTTGGCTTTCAAATCTTTGGGACTAAACGTTCCTGACGCGGGTTAATCCCAAAAGCGTTTCGGACCTTAACTCATCAGATCGATACAAAGCAGAAATACATCTAACAAAAACACAGACCGGAAGTGGCTGGTACTTATACATACCCATGTATATATGTGGTCCATTACAAATGTATTGTTGTAATTATGTCAGTTAAGTTTGTGAGCATCTACATTTTTTAATGGTCATGTTGCATGTATTACTCTTAGCATTTTAATATCTTCATATGGCTTAGTTGACCCCTTCCTTCCCTGTGTATGATTGTGAAACATATAACTCAGCTTCTTTTACAACCAAATAGATCACATTCGAACTCAGTCATTACGTAAATATATCGGCTCAGTGAAATCTGCTTCTTTGAAATCTTGTACCAATTTTTTTTATATCTTATAGAACAATATTCATTTTAGTAATTCTTATACTAAATCCCATTTATTTTTTTATTTTTTCTGAATTTACTTATTAATTTCATTTATTATTAAAGAGTATAATATGAAAATTATATACATTGTATACAGGTCTCACTATACCTTCCGTAAACAACATTTTAAATTGCTGTATAAACATTAAGCCCGTCTATTGTTTGACACTTGTTGGGTAAACGTGAGTTGGATTTTTCAAATGTTGGAGAACCGTGAATAAATAAAGGCAACAGTAGTATACCGCTGTTCAATGGTCAAAATTAGATTGAGCAAAATCAAATCCAAGTATCAAACTAAATCCGAGGGAAACACATCAACTGTAACATATAAGAGGAAAAAACGGAACAACAGAAACATTGAGATACAACAAAAGCAAACGCCAACATACATAGAAACGGACTGTAGATAACAACTGCCATAATCCTGACTTGGTACAGGACATTTTAAGAAAAATGGTGGGTTGAACCTGGTTTTATGGCTAGCCAAATCTCCCGCTTATATGACAATGTTAAAAATACCGCTAAAATGACAAGACTACATGACAAGAATGCAGTACAAACAAACTTAAAATAACTAAGCACAGAGAAATATAAACAATAAACACGTAATTGAAACGTTTTATTCCCTTTTTACTAGAACAAAGCATTCTGTCACTGTTTCAAGCAAAACACAGAAATACATCACAAATAAATATTTAGTTCAAGAACAATAATGTATAATGGTGAAAAAAGCTAGAGGCTCTCAAGAGCCTGTGTCGCTCACTTGACTCTATTTTGGTTTTAGAAATCATGTAAAGATAGATAAAAATCATAACAGATACCCAAATAATGATTGAGGCCAAATTTTGTTTAATATTGGTCCCGTTAATTAATAAAATATCCTGGTGGCCATCTTGAACAGTAAATTGGCAACAAAGTAGCAACACTTGGTCAGCACCTCATAAGGAACATGCCTGCCATGTTTGGTTCTATATTCCATTCAGTGGTTCTCTAAAAGAAGACATTTGTATGTATTTCCCATAAGGTCCTATGTTAAACTAAGTCCCCCGCTGGCGGTCATCTTGGATGATCGATTGACTGCAAAGTAACAACACTTGGTCAACACCTCATAAGGAACATTCATGCCATGTTTAGTTCCATTCCATTCAGCGGTTCTCTAAAAGAAGACATTTGTATTTATTTTCAAAAGGATCCTATGTTAAACTAAGTCCCCCGCTGTCGGCCATCTTTGATGATGGACCAACTGCAAAGTAACAACATTTGGTCAACACCTCATAAGGAACATTCATGTTATGTTTGGTTTCATTCTATTCAGTGGTTCTCCAAAAGAAGACATTTGTATGTATTTCCCCATAGGGTCCTATGTTAAACTAAGTCACCCACTGGCGGCCATCTTGGATGATGGACCGACTGCAAAGTAACAACACTTGGTCATCACTTCATAAGAAACATTCATGCCATGTTTTGTTTCATTCCATTTAGTGGTTCTCTAAAAGAAGACATTTGTATGTATTTCCCCATAGGGTCCTATGTTAAACTTAGTCCTCCGCTGGCGGCCATTTTGGATGATGGATCGGCTGCAAAGTAACAACACTTGGTCAGCACCTCATAAGGAACATTCATGCCATGTTTGGTTTCATTCCATTCACTTGGTCTCTAAAAGATGACATTTGTATGTATTTCCCATAGGGTCCTATGTTAAACTAAGTCCCCTGTTGGCGGCCATCTTGGATGATGGATCAGCTACAAAGTAACAACACTTCGTCAGCACTTCATAAGGAACATTCATGCCATGTTTGGTTTCATTCCATTCAGTGGTTCTCTAGAAGAAGTTCAAAATGTAAAAAGTTAACGACGACGATGGACGACGACGGACGAAGGACGACGGACGCCAAATGATGAGAAAAGCTCACTTGGCCCTTTGGGCCAGGTGAGCTAAAAAGGCAAGTTATTTTAATAACTATTTTCATGTTGACGATTGATTACTTTTTATAAATTAGATTAACATATAATTTCCACTTTTTACGATACCCTTTTGAGAGCCTCTTGAGAGCCTCTTATGTTAAGACAAGATAAAGTGTTTTGATTGGTCAGTTTTATTTGGATTCTCCCTAATTAATTATTCAGACAGAAAGAGGATCGATACTATTTGTAATCAATTAGATTTTTTCGATTTTATATATTCATCGAACATGTGTGCAATCTAAAGGATGTAAATGTTGTTTCCAGGTAGTTGTTGCATGTTTTTGATTGTTATTCTATTGCAAGCATCAACGAAAATTGATGATGCTGTATGATGGAGAATGGACATTCGATATCCGCCATCTTTAATTATTTATGTAAACAGATATGTGTCTTCTACATTATCTGGAATATACAGTTACTTCGATAAAAGTAATTATTTCTGATTGACATAACAAGAGTGAAACGCAATATTACGCAATAATAGCTAAACATCTATAAAAGTTTTAGACAACCCATGATTTTTTTCAGTTTTGAACTCATGACATCTGTGCTCAGGACGATAAATCTGTTCTACTTATTGGTTCTAAGTAAGTGTAGTCATCTGCAGGTATATTCATATAATGGCTGTTTTCTTCAATATCTTCTGCTGTGTTATATACATGCATCTCTTGTATATTTGGACCCAACCCGTCAAAATTCCTGAAGATAATACAACAATAATATCAAATCTTAAATTTATCTTAATTTTACATAATGTGTTTTTTTTTATTTGATTTAGAAAATCTTCATTGAAGGTTGGTTTTCGATGCTCTTCAAATTTGTAACTGATTTTGCCTTCCACTTCCATCTGTTTATATACAAGCGCCACTGGTGATTCGAATTAAGAGACTCCCGCGTCTGGCGTAATGTATTATAAGCCTTGTATCTTTTTTGGGATTTTATCATTAAACAAGGAACATATACCGAGTTTGTCGCGTTCAGTAAGAACGCTTATGGACTTCAAATATGAAGAACTTTGATGGAAGCCATAACTTGAGTTAAAGATCACCACAGAACCATTGATGTTCAATCATGAACCAGTTCTTTTCAGGCCCACAACAGAATTCGTGTTTAATCATAACTGCATTGTTTCATAATAGAAAGTTGTGATTTTTTGTTATGATAATACTGTTTCACAATAAAGAGAAAGAAAATACAAAGGGAAACAATGACAATCATAATTTCAATATACTAAGTGAATAGTCGATACAAGGCCTTAAACGAAAACGACGAAAATACCTTAAAAATAGCAAAACAATTAACAGAAAAATAACGATCAAACAACATCAACCAAACAAAAATCCAGTGCTGATCTTATTTGCTCTTGGAAGGATCAGCATTACCTGTTCCACTTGTTACACCGTCGTGGTACTCTTTTTAACCTATATCTGATGAGTACAATATAGTGAAGCCATGTTACAATAGAGGATTGATAAATGTTTCCTGTCTATTCCAAAGACGTTACCAAATACAAAACCCATCGGTACATGTCAATGTTTTATGCGACTAGTGCGAATTCAAAGAAAAACAATTTCCAGAATAAAAGATCAAAGAATCTTATACCGGTAGAGACAACACAGACATTAGAAAAGAAGAAAGCACAATATTCAAAAGTGAATAAAGGCAGTAGGCAGTAATCCTTACAAAACAAAACTAGGGATCACAACTAAGATCCTCCGGGAAGGGTAAGCAGTAATGTGATAACTACTGGCAGCAATCGTGTTGCTCGTTACAAAGAAACATACGCTAATGAGTCAAATTGGTCGTGTTCATAATTTCACAAACGAGGACGGATTCTGACATTACGAATAGTGGAACTTATCCGTGTCATATGTGACACAAAAATAACATAATGGTCACTTATATCATGATGGAGTTTTCAAAAGGATTACTTCAGGTATAATATTTGGAAATCATGAAAGTAAACACAAGCCCTGGATTATTGTATTTTTGTATTTAACGTGTTTAATTGGAGATAAGTATTGCATGTGTAGTCGTTGAAAGAATGTTCCTTCACAGTAATCAATAGATTTCAAAGGGAAATTTGACAGCATGATTTGGTCGTAAAATGTAGTTCACAGCCGACCCATATTAACAGTTTGTAGTTGTACGTAGTTTTACGTAGTTGTACGTGAAGGTATGAAGCTGTATTAGTGGTATCCTTTATTTCAAGTGCATTGGAATAGCTATAGATGCCGTGAACATAGTGAAGAGAAGCGGACGATACTAATGAGCCATTTAAAGTCATTAGACGAAGACAAACTGTCCAGGCTATTACAAAAACCATAAGCGACTATAATGCAAATAATTGTTTACAAAACAAAACAGAGAAGTTTAATGCCAATTTTTTTTTATTTCATTGAGAGGCTGCAAGAGTATGAAGTCTGCCTCTTAAAATTTGAGACAGAGGGGTACAGTATTACACTTAGAGTTCAAAGTGGTGAAGTTGAAATCAACACTTCGTAAATTTTAATGACGACAGCATGAATTGGTTGACCGTCATGGCATATCTGTTTCACATATGACAACGAATATGTTCCAATTGTCGTAACTTCAATCCTGTCCCCTTTTCCCCGAATGTGACCTACCGAACAAGACTTATCACCGGGTTTGTACAAACATGAGCAACACCACGGGTGCCACATGTGGAGCAGGATCTGCTTACCCTTCCGGAACACCTGAGATCACCCCTAGTTTTTGGTGGGATGCGTGTTGCTCAGTCTTTAGTTTTCTATGTTGTGTTTTGTGGACTGTTGTTTGTATGTTTGTCTTTTTCTTTTTTCGCCATTGCATTGTCAGTTTATTTTCGACTTATGAGTTTGCATGCCCCTTTGGTAAATTTCGCCTCTATCTTAAATTTCAAAGTATAACTAAATATATAAGAATGTTACGTTTTTCATAGCTTGAAGATTTGAACGGTCACAAATACCGTTTAGTAAATTTTATTTAACTGTACGATATAAACTTCCGTTAAGCAACTATACAAAACAAGTCTATCATTTAGTGTTTATACTCCATACTACCTTACACTCCGCATTCCAATCGGACCGACTATACTATCTGTAGTAGCAAGTTACCTGTCGCGATCAGGATATCTAGTATTATCTGAAATAAAATACCCCAAAATATATTTATTATTGGGATCAAAATGTGATATCCAAAGAATTTTCTCATGCACTATGAAAACATCTGTTCAAAACAGTATTGTTGAAACTATAATCAAATAGGGGCCTTTGACATTATTCCCCGGTTTTGACAGTTCTAATGTTCATCTAATTTTGTAAGATTTCATTTCTGTTGTGTATTCTATTTTAGTTCTTAGGTAATGATCAATTTTGCATTTTGCCATGAAGTTCTAGATTAGTAGTTAAAACTTTGCATACTATTCTATAACAATTGAAAGACATAACAGTTTACTCATCAACAGCAAAACAACCACATGTTTCAGTTGTTCTCGTTCCTCGGAGTATACACGAGGTAAACATTTATTGATTTGTTTTCACTTTAAAAGGATGAAGAATATGGCTTGTGTTTTCATATTATCAAAAACAATACCAGATATTTGCACGGCTACAGAAAACATGTGTAGGAATACACGATGATGAAAATATAGTGCCAAATTTGAAGTGACACTTTACATATACAAAAGGCAGATCGGATGTCCTCTGCCATCTTGGATGGTAAAATAGACGAACAAAATCGGTCTAGATGTTTAATTTTATGTATAACTTCATTCGTAAGATTTTATTTAACTAATAAAAATTATGTGATTAATCTTATTGTTGTAACTGTCACACAAACGAACTATTATTTTTTTTATCAACATGAATGGGAAACCCAAGATAGTTGAATTCTATCAAGAAATGTACATTCAATTTACCTAGTATTTGATTTGTAGCAAGAAAACGGGTACGGGGACCCTATTTTTTCTTGTTATTATCTGGCAGCACATCCTAACATTTACAAACAAGTTGTGTTCTATGTAGAGTCTTTAAAAAAACAAATAATTTTGCACAAACTTAGCTAGAAAATAAGCTCCATAAGCCACCATTTTTATAACATTTTAAAACAAAATTATATGTACTACATTTAGGCAAAGTATCCAAAATAAAGTATCGTTTAATCTAGACACCAAATTTACCGTAATCGGTTTGTTTAACGATAAATATGATTTAAATAAAGAGACCATAAGCAATTATCTCATAAAAGAACAATATATAAAAATAAAAGATTTCACAACACAAGACAGGGGTCACTTATCACCACCATAAAACCCAGCTCAAATTATCCATTCGCGTTTATTTTATAGAGAATATTTGTAATAATTGATAATATAGATATTTGTTGTTGGGTTTTTTTTCGAACGTTATTTACCTTCATAATCATACTGGTTGGAACTCTGTGCTTCTGGTGCGTATTTACTGCTAAAAAGATAGTTATTAGTGTTAATTGCTGCAAGAAATGAACTTTAATGTATCAATGATTAAACAATGAAAAAATCACAAATAATCACACCGTTATAGCAGTAAGTATCCACTTGCTGAAACTGAACGAAAAACTATACTTCCTAATCCGATTTCATGGTTATTTTGTTGATAAAAAGAAAAATGTTTTTTTCTGTTTGTTCTTACGTTTTGCTGAAGGTAAGGAAGGGTTGAGCGCTCACAACCATGTTTCATTCCGCCACATTTTGTATGTGACTACTTCAAATAAGAAGTCTGTTATTTAGTGGTTGTCGTTGGTTGATTTTGGTCATATATATATTTTTTTTTTTTTCATTAATTGTTTTTTTAATGAATTAGGTTGTTTGATTACCAGGATAGATAGTTTCACATTTTGTTAAGTCGTGGCCTTTTTGATCCGATTATACGGTATGGGTTTTGTTCATTGTTGAAGACCGTAAATTGATCTATAGTTGGTTACATCAACGTCACTTGGACTAGTAGGAAAGTTGTTTCATTGGCAATTCTAATTCCTATCTGTATGCTTAAGTGTCCAAAATTATATTATCAATATGTCATTATCAACTGACAAGTTACTTTGCAGACGCCAAGGTATGACTGTAAATAATTTTTCTTGTATCCCTCGTGTTGTTTTTGTCACCAATAGTACAGTTTAAACTGCTTATTTGGGCAAACCTTAATTGTCTGGGTTTAACTGTATTATTAAGCTTAGTAGAGTATGTCATGTGTTGCCCTATGGCGTGCCATAAAAAGATCATTATTTTTTCTTAACTTTGGATTTTGATTCTTCTTTGTCCAGACATATCTTATTCTGATGCATATTATTTACTAATAATTTATTAAGAATTTTGCAATTTTGTTTCTTCTTGCATATAGACATGACTCGGTATAAGGATTTATTCCCAAGATATTTTGCTTTTTATATCTGACTGAAACGTAAAACACAACTTCCAAGATGTTTTTTTTTTTCGATTCCAAACATCAATTTTCTGTTTCAATTCAGATATTATTACACACAAACTACACTGGTATACGTCAATTAGACAAAACGACATATTCATACGACATCTAGAGGTAATATTTGGTCTTCAACTTTCTATACTTTAGAGTTTTAAGAAGTTCTGTGTATATTTACAAGTAACAATCACATCAATTATATCATATATGTTACTTTGTATAACGATATTGATTGTTGTGAATAGCTTTGAAATTTCTGTCCTTACCTTGCATCTTCTCTCTTTTTTCCCCGACCAATTGCATAGGCTAAATTAAATAATAACAATTTATTGAGTTAACGATAAACCTTACATATACCTTGATAAGTGTGCATGGAGAAATTCTTTAAATTTCAAGTATCTCAAAGATTTAGATTGTCTGAATGTCATTATTATGGAATCTCGTTCCTCAATTTATGTAGTTTGTTTGATTATTTTCACAATCAATTTATGTGTTCTTAACCTTGGAGGATTCTGCATCTTAAACCCGTGTAAAATATTTAATAATCGAACATATTGTTACCTATTCCCTTTCTCGCGCGCATCTCGAACAGAGTAACTGAAAGGTCAGTACGCTACCGAGAAACATTTCGGACAAAAGTCATCTTAGACACAATTTGTGGCTAACCACAAAGTGAGTTACTTATATATCATTTATGTGATGCATTCTAACCGTTTTTTCGTGTTATACTGGGAGTTTAACTGTTGTACAAATGCAAATTTATCTCGCATTTAACAGCCTGTGCTATCTTTTATATTTGACATTTCGTACATTATAACATTTATTCAACACATTGTAAAATTGTATTTCAGTTTGTATTTTTTTAGCTTTTACCATTCGTCAGATTGGTATAGGGAATAGATATCAGCATCTGATATGTAGATAAGAAGTTGTGGTATGATTGCCAATGAGACAACTCTCTACAAGAGACCAAATTGCATAGAAGTTCACCACTATAAGTCACCGAACAGCCTTCAACAATGAACAAAATCCATACCACATAGTCAGCTATATAGCTCCCGAAACGACAAATGTAACACAATTCAAACCAGAAAACTAACGGCCTTATTAATGTACAAAACAATGAACGAAAAATAAATATGATATACAGCAACAAACGACAAACACTAAATACCAGGCTCCTGATTTTGAACAGGCACATACAGAATATTGCGGGATTGAACAACCCTCCCCCTTACCTGGAACAGTGGTTTAACACTACATCATAAGAACAAATGATATATAATATAATAAACTTGTATGACATACGATAGTCTTTTTCTGTCTAAACCCAATCTTCGGTTATACATAATGGTCCGGTTATACAGTCATTAAATCATTAATCGTTAACAATGAATCAAATAGATGCGAATACTTCAATCGTAGCCGAATTGTGGCATTTTCAGTTTTAGAAATCATCAAAAATACCAGATATGTTGGTTTACTCGAGACGCGCGTGTGGTTTACATCAGACTCATCGGTGAATCTCGATTAAAAACAGTTAAAAAATAAATCCTGAAGATTAACCCCTCTCACTTGATTATAAATAACATTACGTATTCCTTAGGCGTTATCATTAATTATCATTAATGTTGGATAATAGCGAAGTAAACACGTGAAGAAAAATATGTAGTTTCTTGCATTTTATATTTTACATGATTTTAAAAAACGCATGAGTTAACTAACAATGTTGTTTGACAACATTTAAATTGTTGTTATTCTATAAGTGTTTGAAAACACTTGTAAGTCAACCATGATTGATAAAAATACTATACCTTTTCTGTAACAAAATATCAATATGATGAGAAGAAACACTGTCCCAATTCCAATCATGATGTAGATAATAATGTGTACTTGTTCTTTATCTAAAAGTTATTATTTATTCCTTAATTAATTATTTCATAAAACTCTATTTGTAAATGTTTCTATTTGTTTCAAAAATGAAAATAATAACTAAATGACGAAAGGCATCAGGGAAATAACGAAATTATATATTTGATAAAAACAAAATTTTAGTGAAATAAAATCACTATGGTGCATTTAGTCATTTTTTTCAACTACTAGTCATGTCTAAAACGATTTTTTAGTTTTGATATACATCTCACCACTCCAAAAGGATTTACTGTCTTATATTGTTTACGTAGTGCTTCACAGAAGCAGGTTGGAGAGTTTTTTAAATTTGTAATATAATGCTCATTTGATTGTAAATTGGTACAATATAGTTAAATATCTAAATTTATCATTCCTTTTTAAAAGATTATGTAAACCCGCTCTCCCTAAAAAAAAACGAAAAGAAGCGAAAACCAATGTATGCCATTTAGTATTTTTTCCTCAAATGATATTATAAAAAAACAAATTGATAAGTTCCTTCAAGACGTAAACTCATCATTACTAGAATTAATTATCTTTCACATAGACACCAGAATTAATTAATATAAATATTATCCTTTGGCATTCTATGAACAAAAACTCGATACATTCTACGTGTTGTTGTGGCATGAATGTGATTTATTATCATACTTGAAAGACATATTTAAACAAATATGTCAGGTAAAATAAATAATTTTGAAATATTAACCCGAATTGTTTAAGCTTCCACAGACCTGAACAATTTAGCGTGACATGTCTTTGACCAGAAACGAGAAAAGGAGAAACTTTACAATTAACTAATATAGACAAGGTTAAATGTACATAAACGAATTAAACGATCATATTACATAACCTTCTATTGCCAACTGCATGCAAACTGACTGAGGCGTATTAATATCAAACAGATGAGAAACATCACAACAAAGATTTTGTCCACTTTTATCAGACGATGGAACCAAATTCAATGTACCAGCTACTGTATAACTTCTGTCAATGATATCATATGACTGTACAACAGTAAGATCGTTTGTGTATTGTCGATCTTGGATTCTCATAGATATGGTTGGTGCGGGATATCCATTACCAGACGAACATGTCCATTTTCCAGACGATCCAGCAATCAACGTTGCAGGTCCGTTAACTATCGGAGCCCGGGGTGCGACTTAAATTATACAACAATGACAAATAATTTCATATACATATTTACTTTTATCATATACCGATTTATATAGACGAAACGTGCGTCTGGCGTATTAAATTATAATCCTGGTACCTTTGATACCTATTTACCTTTATTAATAACAAATTGACTTGTTTACAATTATTTACAGATTTAAGATATTGAACATAGAACTCAAAGAACAGTATATTTTTATATTTATATCTGATTAAAACATTTCATTCTATTATGGTCGTTGTGTCCATTGTTAGACTTATTAACAACCCCAATCAAACCAACCTTGATATAAACGAGCTGGTCAAATATAATCAGGCGGGTGGGGAGCAAGAATGTAAACTGTGGTTTATTTTTATCAATAGTAACTACAATACCCTTCCTTTTCACGAATGTGACCTACCGAATTAGACTATTAACCGGATTTGTAATAACATAAGCAACACGTTGGGTGCCACATGTGGAGCAGGATCCGCTTATCCTTCCGGAGCACCTGAGATCACCCCCAGTTTTTGGTGGGGTTCGTGTTGCTTAGTCTATCGTTTTCTATGTTGTGTCATCTGTACTATTATTTGTCCGTTTGTCTTTTTATTTTTGGCCATGGCGTTGTCAGTTTGTTTTCGATTTATGAGTTTGACTGTCCCTCTGGTATCTTTCGTCCCTCTTTTATGTCGACGCTAGGGGCCGTCTTGACCTTGTTGTAGGGTATGAATGGTTCGTTTATTGTTGAAGACCCTACATCAACTGTCAAGATGAAGAACAGGAATAAAAGCCCTGTTCATTGATAATTTTCTATGTTTTCTATGTATTGTGTGCGATTTTATCCCATGTACATTTACTCCATATCCTTTCATTTTCTACTGATGTCAGATAGAAAATTTATTAAAACCAGAAAAAAATACCACTTAAAAATAAGATATTCGATATACTTCAAATGATTGTAATTGTGCATTTACATCTCAGATACAGGATATATATGCTTCATGAAAAGATATTTTCCAAAGTACGGTTATGATCAGGTCTTACATGTTCAAGACTTTCAATAAAGACTAAAAGAGTGGCTTGAATGATGAACATATACAAGATGAATGAAAGGAATTCAACATTCTATTCTTTTGTCATGATTTTTTTTACTGATAATGAGTTTTTTAATCATTCAAGATCAGAGACTATGTTTATAACATTTGATAATATGTTTTGGATCTTAATGTACAGCATATTACAATAAATACATTTTCAAATTTCAATACCTTCATTGAGACTTATAACTCAATATGGAGGGTTGTTTTAAAACTATTCAGAACGACAAAGACTGTTCTTGATCTACCGCACGAAACTACTGTTTTTGCAGAAACATTATTATAGCACCACTTATATATCATTTGTATGAAACATATGTTTTTCATGTTGATATTTCAGTTCGTAAATTATGCTACTATCGGTGCGCTTGTTTCCAAGGACCAGCTGTATCAAAACCACACATGTAGTAATACATTAATTTCGTTCAAAACTTTTACTTGGCTAACCTCCGTTAGAACGTTCGGAAACTTATACTTACAATACAATTCAATGTAAGTCGTAGAAACAAGTTGGGTCGACAATTCGCCATTATCCGCTCGACATTCAAGAACTTCAAGATGGTCTTCTAAACTCGCTGTAAACGTGAGGGTTGTTGTCACACCAGCATCTCTATATGTACTTGTACCAATTGTAATTTCATTGTCATCTTTAACCCAATACACGGAAGGCAAAGGATTTCCACCAATAGAACTGCATGCTAAAGTTACAGTATCCCCTAAGTTATACCTATTCAATGCGCTTATTCGTGGTTGTCCTGGAGGTGTGTTAGAGTCTACAATTTTGAAATACCTTTGTACATAAGAGTGCATTAGAATGTGCATAGATATTGAATAATTATGAAGTCAGTTCTCCTTTTATTATATATTCGATTCTTTATCAAACCATGTTGTGATTCATTAGTAGTAGTAATTATTATTTTAATTAGTAGTAGTAGTAATAGTAGTAGTATTAGTAGTAGTAGTAGTAGTTGGGATTATCAGATATACATACATCTACTTCAAAAAATAAGATTTGTTGTCCTTATGATACGGGATTTTTCATAGTCATTTCTTCGTAAAAATCTATCGTATATTTGTATGATAAAGTTCGCTAAACTAACAAAACTAGTAAAATCAAACGCCTGAAATCCCTCTAACTATCTTTAGATAAAAAAATCTATATAAGTCTTTATTTTATCTATATTAGGTAGATTTAGAAAATCTAAATTACTACTCTTGCTGTAAAATGTGTAATTATATTGTCAAACACCATAAATGACATATCTCATATAAAAATTCAGAATGAACATTGCTACATACTTATATCAGTTATTATTTTCCTAGGCCGTTATGACACAGGATTAATAACGCATAGGTTTATGTATAGGGTATTATGGTTATGTGACAACTAATACGCAACCTGACTTAAATTTGAAAGTATTTTAGTACCTGAGGTTTCACATAATCTATCCGTTGCAATTTTGATTAACAAGACACTGCGTCTAATTGCATACCCAGAAGGATGAAAGCCAACTTTGAATGTTAAGTTAAGTTTATACTCGTATTTCGCCTTGTAATCTTGTCGAATTTTCAAATTTGACAACAGCAAACAAAAATACCATTCATACATAAGTTGTATGAAAAAAACATGTAAAGCTATAAAAACGTTAAAGTGAGTGAAGAAGCTATTAAAAAGCTGGATGTTGTAAAAAATGAATGTTTGCTAGAGTTGAGCAAGGTCTAAAACTGATAATTTAACATGAATATTAAGAAAGGTATTCTACATGTCATTAGCATGGCATGACAAAGTATAGATTTTGAATTAGATACAAGGATAGACACTAAAGAAGAATTAAATTAAAAGAATATTTGTCTTTCAATGACTGAAGAATATTTTGAGGAAAAAATTATTCAGTCATTTTTAAAACAGCAGTTAGCTAATTGAATTCTTACCATTGGATGCTCTTCGAACCCTGTGTAAATCTAAAATATCAAAATTTCTATGTTAAAACTCAAATATTGATTCGCTTTTTATTATATTTGTAAATGTATTATAGTAAGATGTCCCCCTGCTATTTTCAGTAATTATTTTTTTAGTGATATATATATATATTTCATGTAAGACAACTTTCATAGTTTTATATAAAACAAAATACACTTAGATTTAGTATTTTTTCACATTTATATATCAGATTGTAATTCTAAATACAAAACAAAACACAAAACATATGAGTTGTTTAGTTTATCATTTTATATTTGCAAGGACACAAAAACAAAATCTAGTTTGTCATGACAGGTGATGCATGCATTGTAGGGGACGCTTATCCTGTCGACGCACCCGGTCTCGCTCCTTTTTGGAGTTTATGTGATTCCCTATGTTTATGTTTTGTTACCTTGATTTGTCTCTTTCTAATCGATATACGAGATTAGAACATCAATAAAATACTTTTGCATAAAAAGAAATTATATCAATTCTGTCCTGTTAATCAGTTACTCACATTAATAAATGATATTTCAACATAGGTAAACTATTGTTGCCTATGCTAAGTAGAACGGATGCAAATGCAGTTTGTGCAAATTACTGTTCCAAATCTGGCCCACTTAATTACCCTGTGACTAATTACTAACCATATATATTCCATGCTTACAAATGGAATGGTTGTAGTATCTACATTTCCATAATTAAAATATTGAGTTATTCGATTGCTTTTCATATTCTTAAGCCTATTTTTAGTTGAAAAAAATGAAAACAACTCTTTATAAATCTCATGTATCTTAAGCGCTTTTCTGTATTTACTGTCAACAGCGCTCAAAGTCGAATATTTGAAAACCAATGATGTATCATAACCGTAACAATTAAAGAGCTATATATTCAAAAGGACCTAAAAAGATATTCAAATTCATCTAAGGTCAACTTTGCCTGAGGGAGTTGAAACCTTTGTTTTTATATGATTTCAAAATTTATAAAAGGTCATTTTAGAAAGGTTTGTTATAAATCATGTCAGTACCGAAGTACTGACTACTGAGCTGATGATATCCTCGGGGACTGATAATTCACCAGCAGAGGTATCGACTCAGTGCTGTTAAAAAAAAAGAAAACAACCCTTTATAAATTTCAGAATACTTTTTTTAATTACTTCGAATTTTTTTATGATACGTGTAGACGGATCCAGTTCAGTAATAGTCAATCAATCAACACATGTGTCATCATAGTCAAAAGATCTTAAATACTTTGCTATTGTAAAGTGTTCTGGATAAAATATGTTTTGATTCACCAATTAGATATACCCCGATACTACAAAGAAAACTTTTCGAAATATCTAGTGCACTAATTTTTTTTTATGGAGTCCTAGAGAACAAGATTGACAACCAAAACATAAGTTTTAATCTAGGAGCAGTTACTTAAACAAAATTATCTTCAAAAAGAGAACATGATGACAAAATTGAAATTCCTACTTTATACACCCTAATTGTTTCTGTATTTCGAGATTAGAAAATAGTTATATACACATGAAATGCTAACGCAGATGTACCTCGCAAAACGAAGGGAAAAATACTTTGAAAATGAAATATGGGTTAGCATACTAGAAAGAAACGAGGAACTGAAAATGCAGAACAGGAACAGTCAAACATGTTTAAAAAAGGAAGTAATTCACCATTTCGAGTAAGGTCTTAAAAATATGAAATGAACGATATCATTTTATATAGCTAGATACGTGTTAAGCAAATATGATAAAAGAAATTCAATTTTTTTTAATTAGTTTCATACATTTATTTATCAAAACAGTGCGTATTCTTTAACAATTCACTAGATTTATTATCTAATACGAAATTATGTAAAAGTTAAGACACGACGTCATCTTGACAATTTTTCGAATAGTGTTTATACGTACTTTTTAGTGCAACATATGTCGTTTTCACAAGTGGTCTTTGGAGGAAACCATTATCTACCTGACATTCATATACATGACGATTGTCATCTTCAGTTGCGGTAAAGGTCAATGTCGTTGTTGTTACATTACCAGAAATTGAAGAATTAGTGCCGGAAGAAATGACCATATCATCTCTCATCCATACGACTGACGGTGGTGGATTTCCTCCGTCAGAACTGCATGACAGAGTAACATTCATTCCAACCTGAATATCTTCTGGTCCAACAATTTGAGGATCACCAGGTGGTACCCTTATAGATGCTAAAATAGAATGGTTTTCATTAATTAGACTTCTATTGTTAAATTTAGAAAAAGTAATTGCTTAAATTTATTCAGTTTTTTCATGCACTGTTTGTTGAATATATAATTGAATACGAATGAACATGGCTTATATAGCAATTCAAACATTTTTTAATCACTCCATAATAAGGTATATAAAATGTACTTTTTCAAAAAACTTCAAATCACTCGAAACACAGAGGTTTTTCTAGCCCCATGCATAGATAGCCGTAGATAGATAGGATATTTTTTTTTTAATTGTTGGGTTTAAATAACATGCTCAACTCGTTAATTGATTTAGTTTCAGTTTTCGTTCTGCTCTCATTCGAGTGCCATTTATGAGTCTTTAAGGAGGCGAAACGCCCTTCTAGCGTACAAAATTATAAGCCTGGTATCTTTGATGATTTATGTTAGAGGCAATAAGGACACTTGTAGTTTATTATAATCTTTATCTTTATGGTCAATTGTCTAATTCGCAATAACATCACTTTTCCAAATTCTTTATTTGAATTTAATGTAACCGTTTATTTATCATACAATGGAGGTATAAAAAAGATTTTATATTCATGTCATACCTTCATGCTTAAAATATAAGGTCTTTCACATATAATGTCACTTTAAGCAAATACAAATAATCATCAGACTATTTTACCTTTTAGAACTTTTAGTATCGCAGGTCCACTTATGGCTTGCCACTTCCCATTTGATGCTCGGCATTGATAATTACCCTCGTCATCTTCTGTAATGCTAAATATTTTTAAGCTAGGATTTGAAGCAGAATTGACAACTTGTCTCTCTGCATTGTTTGTACCTCTCGCTATTACTTCAGCGTTGCCTCCATCAATGGGTGTTTTTATCCAATCCCATGATGTTGCTGGTAAAGTGCCGTTTATATTACATTGTATAATAGCCAACGAATCTCCTGCTAAAGCTGCATAAAGTATTGGTGATACTACTATTAAAAGACTACCTATTTTTAAATACAAACAATCCATTTAACATACTGCAATTTAAACTAGTCATCAAAATAAATCAAGATAGTAAATTCTGACAAAAACCAAAAACCCTGCAAATCAGAAAACATTATAAAACGGTGTTTCGGTACTAACGTGAGTTATAACATAATTCTACAATTGAAATCTCCGTTGATAATTTAATAAATATTTTTTTTTATTTAAATAACGTTCTTACACCGTCCGGCAAATTGGATCTTAGTTGTATATGGATATTCTTTGATGGCCTTTTTGATCAATAAGCTCTCTAACTGTTTAGGTAGTTAACATTCTTCGCTTTAATTTTTTTTTGTATGTGAAGTTTCTTGCTGAGGGTTAATTCCGAAAAGCGCGCACTTCGGGCGAAACAACTGTATGAATAATGAAGTGTTAACTGCCGACTGTTTTCAATAAACCATAATATGTTATGAAAATAGATGTCTTTGTACGTGGTTAGATATAAATTCTGATCAAATCGTGTAAATCGACTACGGTCACGTCGTGTTACTCGAAATCCCCAAAATGAATTAAAAAACATAAAATTACAAAAATCAAAAATATACATGATATAAGAAAAAGAAAAGAAAACTTCCGAGAACGATTACCTCTGGTAATGTAACAACAACGACATTGACCTTTACGAGCAAACAAACTACCTACATGTAAATAAAAATTCGCTGCTTTCAAGATTTTGTTGTGATTGTTAATTATAGAATACCGATCTCTATAAAAAGAAATAACAATGATGTTATAAGGATTTTTGTAAAACATATGCCGTGTTCAAATTACTAACAAAAATTCTATAAAATCACATAATGCAGAATCAATTATAACATTATTGCTTGTTTTTTTCCCATTTATATTTCCTTTTTATATTATAGAAAAGAGAAGATGTCATGCAAACCACTATGCATAAAAAATTGAAGATTGGGGAACATAACTTACACTTAATCAATTTTGTCTTCATTGCATATTACAAATGTATAACATACTTTAAAACTTGACGGTTTCCATATTTACTACCAATCTAAATTGCTGAAAGTTAAATACGTATTACCATCTTACCTTCTATAACATACAATTGCGTATCATTGCTTTGTGCACTGTTAACTTGATTCTCAGCTTCACATTTATACACTCCGGCATCTTGGTTGTTGGCATTTAGAATGGTCAAAGCTGGAATCTTCAGAGTACCACCGCTATACTTGGTAGGGTCACTAATGTTTACAATAGAAACATTGGTGCTCATGTGGGTATAATACCATGTCACTCTGAAAGGACTTGGCTTGCTATTAACAACTGTACATGGAATTGTGATGTCCTCTCCATATATAACATTGTAGGTACTTTGTGCAATTGAAACTTGTGGTGTGCCTAATGATTAATCAAACATAAACATGATAATGTCTAGCTAAGTTGTTGTAGTCAACTTGTTGCTAGCTTTTCGAACTATATATTTTCTTTTAAAAACGTTGATCCGATATAACATAATGAACCGTATTTCATAAACTCTTGTCGAGCGAACTAAAATATTACGGTAGTACTACTAGCCATTGGATCCCATGACTTGTCTTACATAAATTATGCATTCACCGAGTATGGCATGTGGTATGCGTACATTATGTGTTCATCATTTGTATGTTCAAATTTGATTTGAGAGTTTTGACTAAAAATACACTACTTTTTACCTAAAAAATCAATAAACACAGGTTCTTCTGATTTCAACAGGTTGTGTTTTACACTTTTTACATATCAATGCTTTGATTGAGACTAGTGTGTTCTTTTGAATTGTGTCCACATTACCCAGAACTATGGGATAAGACATATGCGATGCGACTTGATAATTTTAAAACCTCTGATCAAGACGTTTTTCTGAAACTATGATTGGATAATTGTTGGTTGCTTAACGTCCGTTAAACTATGAAAAATGGTAATTATTCATATTTGTTATGTTATAGCCATTTTATCATAATGATTGAAAACATCTTTGATATTAGCATACATTATATCAGCAATCATGTCAACATGGATATTTACGGGGTTTTTTTTTATTTTATTTTTTTAATTTACAAAAACGGGTGACGTGAGCAGTTAACAAGTTTAAACAAAAACTTTTTTAAAACATTAGAGGGAAACACGTTTTATAAATATGGTTAGCACTGCAGTTATTTCAACAAAAAGAAAATTAACTTACGGCCTTTCACATCAACTCCAGCAACATTGCTAAATCCGGTTCCAATAGCATTTGTGGAAAAGCATACATAGTTTGCAGTGTCGTTGAAGTCGATATTCGTAATATTCAGTTCTGTCGAGGCCGTTGAATTGACAATATAATATTTATCACTTCTGTTTGATGCATTTATTGCTGTAGTTGTTTGACCGTCCAGTGATACTTTTCTCCAACCAACAGCATCTGCAGCGGGGAATGCCGACACACTGCATATGATTGTTACTAAAGAATCGCCAAAGTATGCTATTTGAAATGACGGAGTTGCAGTTACATTTGGTAAATCTATAAAGAAAATATAAAAGATGGTATGAAACTTACAGTCCTATAAAATTGTTTCTAAACATAATCGTGTCTTTGGAGTATTTTTGTCTTTGATTTGATGTCTCATTTGTGAACTCGCCACATATTCATTCAATTCTGTTAGCAAGCAGGCATTAAGGCTGTGCAATTGAAACTTGTGGTGTGCCTAATGATTAAACAAACATGATCATGGTAATTTCTAGCTAAGTTGTTGTAGTCAACTTGTTGCTAGCTTTTCGAACTATATATTTTCTTTTAAAAACGTTGATCCGATATGACATAATGAGCGGTATTTCAGAAACTCTTGTCGATTGAACTAAAATACTACGGTAGTACTACTAGCCATTGGATTCTATGACTTGTCTTACATATGCATGTACCTCGTATGGCATGTGGTATGCGTACATTATGTGTTCATCATTTGTATGTTCAAATTTGATTTAAGAGTTTTGACTAAAGATACACTATTCTTTACCTAAAAAAACAATAAAACATAGGTTCTTCTGATTTCAACAGGTTGTGTTTTACACTTTTTACATATCAATGCTTTGATTGAGACTTATATGTTCTATTTGAATTGTGTCCACATTACCCAAAACTATGGGGTAAGACATATGCAATGCGACCCGATAATTCTAAAAACTCCGATCAAGACGTTTTTCTGAAACTATGATTGGATAATTGTTGGTTGCTTATCGTCCTTTAAACTATGAAAAGTGGTAATTATTTATATTTATTATTTTATAGCCATTTTATCATAATGATTGAAAACATCCTTAATATAAGAATACACTATATCAGCAGTCACGTCAACATGGATATTTACGGGTTTATGTTATTTATTTATTTTTTAATTTACCAAAACGGATGACGTGAGCAGTTTACAAACTAAAAAAACTCATAAAAGATACGAATCCAACATTTGCATTATAATCGAAATTATATACTGAATCGACTTAAATCTGTGTAAAATAAAATACACATTATCGTAGATTCTTAAATACTTTAAACAAATATGTTAGAGGGGCATACACATTTTATCAGTAATGTTCATAACGTAGTTATTTCAACCAAAATGAAATTAACTTACTGCCGTTCACATCAACTCTAGCATCATTGCTAAATCCAGTTCCAACAGCATTTTTGGCAACGCATACATAGTTTGCATTGTCGTTGAAGTCGATATTCGTAATATTCAGTTCTGTCAAATTCGTTGAATTGATAGTGTAATATTTATCATTTGTGTTTGCTATCACTGTAGTCGTTTTGCCGTCCAGTGATACTTTTCTCCAATCAACAGCTACTGCTTCTGGGGATGCCGACACATTGCATTTAATTCTTACTAAAGAATCACCAAAGTTTGCAATTTGTAATGCTGGACTAGCAGTCACGTTTGGTAAATCTATCAAAAATTAATAAAGATATCATGAAGCTTACACTCCTATAAGATTGTTTTAAAACATAGTCGTGTTCTTGTATAATGTTTTTTATTTGTTACTACTTAAAAACTGGTTAAATAGATTGTTTTACTTGAAAAGATCTTCAAATAAAAAAAATAAAAAACTGAAAATATTGCAAAATTATTTGAGTCAATTTTGCATATTTTCCATTCAAAATGAAATAAAGCAGGTATATACTATTATAATACTATTTAGCATGTCTAATGATTTGGGTTTTTTTCATTTTAAATCATTATAAAAAGAGAACAGATTTCATAGAGACATAGCAAACATCACAATAACATAAAACCATATACGAAAAGGCAGACAACTGTCCTCAAACCGCAATTCTCAAAAAAATTAAAACTGAGGATCATGACTTGCACTTCGTCAATTTTGTCTTTATTATATGCTACATACATTGACAACCTGGAGCTTTTCACATTAAAATGTGTAACAACCGTCTCACATTACTACACTATTCAGGTGAATTTTAAGCCCAACAAATTAACCATCTTACCACCTATAACATTCAACTGAGTATCATTGCTCCGCGTACTGTTTACTAAGCTTCACATTCATACTCTTCGATATCTTGTTTGTTGGCATTTAGAATGGTCAAAGCTGGGGTATTCAGAGTACAACCGCTATACTTAATACGACCTCCAATGTTCACAATAGAACATATATATCTCTCCATATATTACAGTGTATGTAAATTGTGGAAATGAAATTTGTGGTGCGCCTGATAATTTAAAAAAAAACAAGTACACTTATTTAGTTAGTCAGCTGATAAATTGGAGTTTTTACGTTAATTAGTTATAGTAAATTTGAGTCTATCTCATACAAACTGATATATGCAGGTCAACTTTTTTTAATTTTACAAAATTTTAATGTATTTGGACTTTACAAGTTTAGACCTGATGTTTGAAGGTTATTCACGAAATCAAAGTAGAACGTACTAGAGTCATTACGTGTTATACTGTAGTATTACTAGACATTAGTTTTCCCTGACCTATCTTTTATACTAAGCAAGATGTCACGTAACACGTGCATATAACCTGTCTCTAACACAAAATCACGTTCTGTTAAATAATTATTTTTTCCTCATTTGTATGTTCAAAATTGATTAACTAGTTTTGAACAACGATACACTACTTTTACTTTGGACTTTAAAATTCAATAAGGATATTCGGATTTTTATATTATATATATAAAATATTTTATGTATTTATGAATATATATGTGTAGAAATAACTAACATTAGAGTAATCACTAAAAGATTTGTTTTAATATTAAGGGTAGTATACACATTATATTGATCTGGTTTATACCGTAGTTAATTCAACCAAACAAAATTTAACTTACTGCCAATGACATAAACCCTAGCATAATCACTTAATCCAATTCCAACAGCATTTTTGGCAGAGCAAACATAGCGTGCATCGTCGTTGAAGTCGATATTAGTAATATTAAGCTTCGCCAACAACGTTGAATGGTAAATAAGGTATTTGTCCTTTTTGGTTGATGAATCTATTTCTGTAGTGGTTTGGCCGTCCAATGATACCTTTCTCCAACCAAGAGCTACTGCTGCAGGGATTGCCGACACATTGCATATGATTTTTACCAACGAATCACCAAAATATGCAATTTGGAATGACGGACTCGCAGTTACTTTTGGTAAATCTATCAATAAAATATAATACAATGATTGATTGATTGATTGATATTTGCATAACGTCCAGTGATAAATATTTCAAGAATAATCAGGACAAAAAAAATCAACAGTAAATACAATATTACAACAGGTACATCTGGTAATAAAGGTCGTCCAGGATGAAGGTAAATTAGATAGGGACAGACATTTTGCCTTGTAACTGGCCATATACGGAGCCCTTATGGCATTGTTGCAATGGTTCCTAACTAACGTACAGAGAGCATAACAATCTCTCTACAAAACGCATCGGATTTAACGTTCTCATTCTGACTGGTCAATGCTGCGTACTTATACATCCCACATGGCCATACGGTCACCCAACTTTGGCAATGATTTTCCTGCCGGTCTGAAGAAACCCAAAGGGACCATATTGCTATCCCGATTCACCCTTATGGTTTAAGATAGATAGTATGAAACATACAGTACAATACTATAAGCTTGTTCACAAAACCATTTGTGTCGTGGGTGTATTTTTGTCTTGGATTTTCTATCTCTATATTTTGTGTAACCTTTAAGTATTCAGTTATTCATTATCTAAACAAGTACTAAAGGGTGTACATATGACGTGTTTTAGAATCAGAACATTATCATATGTCTATGCTATAATGGAGAGCATACAGCACAAAAATACGATATTTATTGTGTGCGTGCGTTGACTCTGAAACTCAGAAACTGTTTTATATTGATATTTTTACTTGCAACGATCTCCATATAACACAACAGATCCAATAACATGTATATGCGCATATGCGTGCTACTAAAGATTCACTAAAGTATGGAATTTGTAATATACATTCACGTTTGGTAAATCAGTCAAAACTTTTGTGTTGACATGCAATATTATAGATATGTTCATTTTGTACGTAAGGAAATGCCTGTACCCAGGCAGGAATATGATAGTTGTTTTTCTATTCGTTTGATTTGTTTGAGCTTTTGATAAGGGACTTTCCGCTTTCAATTTGCTTTGGAAATCGGAGTTTTTGTAATTTACTTTTTCTGTTCATTTACTGTTTATAAAATGTTGAATAACCTCCAGGAATGGATTACCTTAGACGTATTTAGAACAACACAATAGAATAATGTTATATGTTATCTCCCATGGAAACTTATTAACAACGGATTGTAATTTCACATATATTTTACTGAATATAAGATGTTTTAATTCAAATGATGTCTGATTCTTATGAATAAGAAAGACTTTTCGAAAGAAAAATTGTATGAAAGCTTAGTTTGGATATTATTATAGCAATTCAAAATTACTACCTTTAGCATGACAATAACAATAAAATTTCTACACACACTGTTAGTATGCTTTATGTTATCACCTCGCACTTTCACGACTTGACTGTGGCTTTTTACAGCAGTTTGTTCAAATTTCTGACCAGTTGAACTGTTTGGTTTTATAAAACAAATTGCAATTTGTTCAGCATTTTGAATAAATTGCAATAGGTGGAGAGCAACACTACCAGTCAAGTCACAGTACTGTAATACATTAATTAATTGAAGTTTGATACCCTCTTCAGTTACACTAAGGTTGCAACTATCTCATACATACTTTAATGTTCTACTAAACTTGTTGTGAGTTTTAAGTAATATTTAATGATTTTTCAAACTGTTGGAACGAACATGATGACGGTTATTCTAGAAACTCTTGTTTTTTTTTTTTGTGTGTTTCTTGAGCACTAAGATATTAACATTTTATACATTAGTACTACTTGGCATTATATTCCCATGATCTTAAACGTACCAGTACTGTGGCTTGGTGCAAGTCTATATTAGGTGACTCCTACCTGTTACAACACTTTCGTTTAGAGTAATATTGTTTGTTCAAAATGGGTTGACGAGTTTTGAAAAACTAAATTTACTAATTTTCTACATTCAATACAATAAACCCAGGATTGCTTTATCTTTTTTTGGGATTTTTTTTAACAGATTGTATCTATACTTTTTGCATGTCAAAGTCTCATAGAGAGTTGTTATAAATCTTTTAATTCTACCCTACATTGACTGTAAATATCGGGTTAGACATGTGCAATTCAACTCAATAATACAAATGATACTGTTTACCTTCTTGAACGATTGACAGTGCTAGTGAAAGAGAGTTTTTTATGTTTCAACCAACAGAAATTTAACTTACTGCCTGTGACATTAACTCTAGAATTATTACTAAATCAGTTCCAAAAGCATTTATAGCAAAGCATACATAGTTTGCATCGTCCTGAAAGTCGATATTTTTAATATTAAGTTTTGCCGAAAACGTGGAATTGGAAATATGGTAATCATCATTTCCAATTGATGAATCTATTTCGGTAGTTGTTTTGCCGTCCAGTGATACCTTTCTCCAACCAACAGCTACTGTTGATGGGATTGCTGACACACTGCATGTAATTGTTACTAAAACAGCACCAAAGTATGCAATTTGTAATGGTGGACTTGCAGTAGCTTTTGGTGAATCTATCATGAAACTATAATAGCCATTAGATAGTGAGAAATGTGCAGTCTAATAAGTTTGTTTCAAAAATATTCTTGTCGTTGAGGGTATATATGTCTTTGGTTTTTCTGTCTCATAATGATGATGTACTCGCTCTTTTATTTATGTCCTCAATTCTCTCACAACTTAAAGTTGTACATGTAACAAATGGAAAACAATATAAAATGTCTATCGCTACAATGGATAACATAAAGTATGCATATATTCTGGCTTACGAAAAACTGTTAATTCATCATTAATTTAACTTGAACAGCATTAATGTTCCATGGGTTAGCCATTAATTACCCCCAAAAAATGTGCACCGATACTTCCAATCCGGCTACTCTTTTGATGTACATTTTGATTTTTAAAGGAGTTTGATTTTATAGGGTATGTATTTGTAGATGAACGAACCAAACAAAAATATCAACTTTAATGGTTATTGTGTAGTTCAAAATTATACTTGAATATATACTTATTAATAGATTTCAAATGAAAATGAGCTCAAACGCACAACTTGCAACACCCTGTGTGCGTGCATGTTCATGTATTTGCGTTGATATAACATTTTATAATAAAATCTTTAGTAAAACAATGTTTAACGGAGAACAACAGTTCACAAACATTACATTTTTGCAACCCCTTTCTGTTTAGAAAAATAGTTACCGAGGCATTACTAGTTATTAAACTTTGTAGTAGAAAAACTAATTAATTATTTAACAAATATTCCATCAGCAAACACTAGATTATATATGAACAAAAATATATTTTACGATTAATTCTATGTAGTATGAACATATATTGTATCACGATAATCACTGCAGTTGAAGTTTTAGCCTTAGAGAATTTTTATTAACTATTACAATACCAACAGTTCGATCAGGAGTTATTTTAGTAGCTGGACAAACATTTTTACAAAGACATCAACAGTTCCTGTTTTCAAAACGATATTCTTTAATTAAATTTTTACTTTTTATTCGGAGATTTTTTTTTGGTTTTTTTTTTTGCCTGTTGTTATTTTTGGCGTATTTTGAAAACGAAATACGATACCAAGATTTGCATAACTATTTGTCGACCGAAGACAGTCAACATCTCAGCAGACTGAAAACAATTCTCCACAAATTACTACACATAAAGGCAGATAATGCGCAACATATACCCAACAAACTTATACATTACATAAATATACAGTAACAAAAGTGCACATGCTGAAATGTCTCGCCTGTTTTACTGACCATTGATTTTATGTTGAAAGTCTTAAAGATAAAGGTTTAACTAAAAGCATCACAGAAACTCAGGTCAGATAAATGCTGTCAGACAGACATATACACTGTAATGGCCTGACCATTAAGTATAACCGACGATTGGGCTCAAGCAGATAAGACTATCAGGTATTGATACTTTAATCAAGAACCAATCTAACAAATGGTAAAAAGCTGAAATACAAAATAAAATACAAATTTACAATGTGTTCAATTTATGTTATGATGAACGAAATGTCAAATATAATTGATAGCACAGTCCATTGAATGCGAGAAAATGTTACACTTTCAAGAACAGTTAAATTTCCAGTATTTCACGGAGAAAAGGTTCAAATGTGTAAAGAACCATTTCAAGGCTTCAAATGCAATGTTATGAAATTACCTCACTCTGTGGTTAGCCACAATTTGTGTCCAAGATGACGTCTCTACGAAATATTCCTCGGTATCGTAATGACCTTGCAGTTTTCCTGTAATGGATACGTGTGAGAAAGGGAAAAGGTAACGGTGATTTCGATATTTTGAAGTTCTATACGGTTTAAAGATGAATAATCCTTCTAGGTCAGGAACACATAAACAGATTAAGAATATGATTAAACAAACTATATAAAATGACGAATGAGGTTACAGATTACTCCCCGTCTGATATTTATCTGATATTACTATTCCATAAAATATAACACATATGAATAGATCCAATATATGTACATAGAATTATACAAGGTCGTTCTCTAAGAGAAGAATCATGTCCACGATGGGGCGAGTGTAGATAGTGGCTTTTCCATTTATGATTATTCGAAGTTCTGCTTTCCGGACATGTTCGTCGGAACTTTTAAATGTGTTTACTATTATTCCAACGAGCCACTGGTTACGACAAAGGTTTTTATCCATTAAAAGAATGACGTCTCCTTTGATGAAATCACGGCGATTTCCGGTCCATTTTCGTCGTTGTTGTAGTAACGGCAGGTACTCCCTCCTCCAACGGGACCAGAAAACACTGGCCAGAGCCTGTACACGTCTCCATTCGTCTAGACATAGATCCCTTTTGCCGAATTCTCCAAGCTGATATGAAGTTAAGATGTAATCGGTCTTCTGTGTGAATAACATAGCTTGGGTTAAGATTAACGGATTCTCTGAACCTGTCGATACTGGTACCAGAGGTCTTGAATTGATTATTGCTGAAACTTCTGCCATGAACGTATTTAGTACGTCAAGTGTAAGACTCCTTCCAGCGGCGTTGACAAGCATAGAATCAAGTATTCTCCTTGCGATATCAATCATTCTCTCCCAGACTCCACCCAAGTGGGACGAATGCGGCGAATTGAAGATCCAAGTTGTACCAGAATTGTACAGAAAATTCTTTAAGGGTCCATCCTCAACGTTGATTGAGTCAATCTTTAAATCGTCGATTACACCAATGAAGTTTGTTCCACGGTCAGATCGGAAAATCTTAACTTGACCTCTTATAGCGGCAAATCTTCTGACAGCGTTTATGAAGGCTTAAGATCTCATTTCCTCGATGAGTTCGATGTGAACAGCTCTTGTCACTAAGGATGTGAATAGAATTGCCCAACGTTTCGAGTTGGCGTATCCACCACGTGTTTTACGTGAAACCATTGTCAATGGTCTAAATGTGTCTATTCCAACGTTAGTAAACGGAGGTGACTGTTCAAGACGGTCCTCTTGCAAATCAGACATGATTTGACACTCGGTTTTTCCTCTTGGTTTGCGGCATGTCACGCAGCTGTGAATAATAGACGAAATCAGGCGTTTTGCTCCTCCGACGATCCAGAAACCTGCTGATTTAATCGCTCAATCTGTGAAGTGGCGACCTCGATGTTTAATTTTGTTATGGTAGTGTCGGACTAATAGTGTCGCTATATGATGGCGTCCAGGAAGATCAATGGTTGCTTTTCTCGAAGGTTTAAGTCAGATTTAACTATACGGCCTCCTATTCGTAGTAGTCCTTAGTCGTCCAAAAACGGATTGAGGTTGGCTATCGGGCTACGTTTAGAGATTTATTCCTTTTGTCGAATGCTATCTATTTATTCTCCGTAATCTTCGTGTTGTGCAGACATTTAAATGAAGTTTTCGGCATTCGTAAAGATTTCTAGAGACGTCACTGATTCTGTCTGTTTTGACCCGTGTAAACGGGAGAAACATTCCAAAAAGGCTATCGCTCGCACAAGTGATGTCCAGTTGCAGAATCGGTTGAATCTATCGATACCTTTACGCTGAGGTGTGGCATTTGTCTTTGCAACATTAACAGTTGCACGGATTTCTCCATCTTCTTCTGGATTTATTAGTTGTTATATGTCATCGGGACTCTCCTTCTGTTCTCAGGAAAATAGTTGTCTCGGTCCCAATAACCACTCACTACTGTTAATTTCGTGGGCTGGTACGGACCTTGTTCCCGAATCTGCGATATCATGGTTGGTTGGTACATAACTCCATTGACTTGGAGAGCTAAACTTCCTTATTCTTTCTACTCTATTAGCAACGTAGATAAAGAATCTTCTTGTCTCGTTACTGATGTAACCTAATACCACTTTACTGTCTGTATAGAATTTCACGGTGTCTATGTGTGAATCTAAGTTATCAACGATGGTTTGTGTGATCTCAACCGCTAATACGGCAGCAGATATGTCAAGTCGTGGAATAGTGTGACCACTTGCAGGTGCAACTTTTGCCAAGAATGAACCCAATGTTTGGATCACCACTACTGTCGGTCGTGTGTAGATATGCAACAGCTGCTATGGCTTTTTCTGACGCATAAGAGAAGACAAGTAACTCCTTTGTGGCAGTTTTGCTGAGATACAGCACGTATGTACGTGGAATGCGCAATGTTTCAATAGCTATTAGAGTATCCCTCCAAGATTTCCATTCAGTTGCAGTCTCATCAGAGAGAAGTTGGTCCCAATCGTCGGTTTCTGATACTATTTTCCTTAGTAGGAGTTTTCCTTATATAATCACGGGAGCTAAAAATCCAAGAGGATCGTAGATGCTGTTTGTCGTTGATAAAATCCCTCTTCGAGTGATCGATTTATTTTCTGATGACAATTGAAATAAGAAGTTGTCAGTGTTCACGTCCCATGTGAGTCCAAGACTACGTTGCAGGTGTTTGCTGTCGACATCTAAGTCTAGATCCTTAAGTTTTGAAGCCAAATCACAGGCATGAAATGTAGACATAACTTCCGCACAATTAGAGGAGAACTTGTGAAGCCGTAAGTTTCCATATTTTGCTAATGCTTGTTGTGTGCCCTTCATGATCTTTACTACTTCTTCTTTTGTAGGACATGACGTAAGACCATCGTCAACATAGAAATCTCTTATAACAAAACTGGTCACGTGACTGCCGAACTCTTGTTCTGATGCCTGAGCTGCTTTCTGAGTCCAAGCGTAGCAACGGCAGGTGACGGATTATTTCCGAAAACATGAACTCTCATGCTGTATTTGACAAGGTTCTCTTGTAGGTCGTTGTCTTTATGCCATAAAAAGCTCAGATAATTTCGTTGGTTTTTTCTGACTACAACACAGTGAAACATGTGTTGAACGTCAGCAGTTACTGCAACTATTTCTTTCCTGAAACGCAACAGTACTCCCAAGAGATCATTGGTTTAGTCGGGACTTGTTAACAGGACGCTGTTAAGTGATACTCCGTTAAA